GTTTTATAAACACATATTTCTGTATTTCGCTAAACCTGCCTTTAGATAGCTTTGAACAGATGGATATGATTTTCATTAACACATTTTTAGTAGTTCCTTCCATTTTTTCTTTAATAGGTTTAAACTGTTGAATATGTTTACCGTAAACAATATGTACATTTTGTGTTTTCAGCATTCTGCTGTCCGATGTAACCGCCAAGCTGTTAACATAGTATTTCTGTTTACTGTAGGTTACATATGTAAATATCTGTGTAAATAATTCATTGGATATTTGTGACCCCGGGTAAAATTACAAACTATATTCTGGATGCATTTTACGTTTGAAAATGAAATGAAATGTAAAAGAAAAAACAAATGTATGACTGAAATGAGTAACGAAATAAAAGAAATTGTACTAAGTGTCTGTAAAGAAATGCGGAATGCCTTGGGAGACATTTAAGGTATTACACAGACAGCTTTAGCCTTGGGAAAGTCTATATATGGATGATTGCAGCATACAATCCAAGTAGGAGGAATGGGGAAACACAGGCGATTGTGTACCAGACGTTGCGTGGTATATTTTGCCTGCTGAGCAGTGGCATTGTTCAGGTGTTAGATATCAGTGAAAACGTTGCCTACAGACGCCCCCAACTTTATATTATCTTCGTTGTAGACGACATGAGTAACTTTCCTTTCTCATTTATAATCGATATCAACTACGTGCATATCTATCAATAACTCTATATTAAAGTCAACTCTGTATAACTATCAGAAAATAAAAAAAAACTTTGTTCGTATCATTAACTAATAAAAATAATATTTATAAGCCAGACATTTTAACAACGGGTTTAAAACAGGAAAAAGTGCAGACAGTATTGAATTATTAAGAATTCGTGTTTTGCGTCGACGTCTTCAAGTCATATAACGATGAGATAAAAGTTTATAAAAAGAAATCTTTATAAATGGTCTGAAAACTTAAAACTATATTGTTATAAACGAACATGCTTTGTTAAAGAGCAGTTTTTATTATTTCATTAACTGAAAACTTTCCATGTATTTAATGAATCCAGAAACCTCATTCTGAACACAACATTAACGTTTTAAGATAACGGTTATCTCTCGCAAAAAGGAATTCTGAAGACCAACAACATTGCCCATCCATACATTGGCAAAACTTTCATCTTTGTCTTCAGTATTTCCTGAGCAAAGACACATTGCTCTTATAAAACATAGATCCCGTCTATTGGGAGGAATGTTAGGCGATATAGTTTCACACTGCACATGCTGCTATCTCTTAAAGACGTGATCGAGATTCTTTTTGTTTTGTCAAGTTTGGCAATAAGGTCTCCAACACGCCATTGGCATTTGGAAAACAAGGACATAACAGATTCTTCTACATCAGCCACTTCACTCGATTTTTTTTCCTATGACGAAACATGGCCAGCTTTCCACCAAATTGTATGATAAAAGGAATGATTTCTATTTCCCTAGAGTGAATTTTCAAGTTCTTGTTAGCATCATTCCTGCATCTCCAACACCGCGAAATGCAGGTTGACGGTCGTTATAGTGATTTCATCGCTAATTATTCCATTTTATTGTGATAAATGAAGCCGGACATGTTTCACGCTCATTACTGTTCCTGTTGATTTCTTTGTGATATAACTTGTTCTCATTTGAGAATATGACATTACCTGTTTAGATTGACCAAGGTTTACGTGACTGGTATCATCGATGGAGCAGAAAACGCTTACACCTGGTCTTGTTCTCGTACTATTTCAGAAGTCTCCGTGTGAATCTTTCTTTTGCTCATATTCTGCTGTAGTGGTATTGAATTTGAGATTGGATTACGATTCAGTTCACTTGTTGCTATAGTAAATCAAGCCCAAGCAAAAGTAGTAAGACACGAAAAACTAATTTTCAAGAATCTTAAAAGTATTTTCCGTTTGTCGATGCTCAGGAAAGTCAAAATCTTTTCATTTTTTTTTTCATAACTATGCCACCCATGCAAACATTCAAACCGCTACTACTTGTTTATCTTTATTTACACGAATATTTTCCTAGACAATCATGCCTGTTAGACTCATTTCCGAATGGCTTATTGTCCTGGTCTCACAATAAGTACACGACGATCAGAAGCAGCCATCGGGATTTAGTCTTCTCTTTTGAGTTGAATTCCAAATTAATCACATTTAAGTCAGTTTTTATATGATATCTTTATTCAATATAAAACAATATTACACAAACATATATTGCATATCGGTTGGATAAACAAGTTTAGGGCTCATATTCATCCTTTCACATATTTAAGTCTGTTTGTTGGAGTGGGATGTTGTCTGCTTCATCAGCGAAAACATTTAGCTATGTTTGAATTAACTAGCAGACAACAATCCGGATAAATTACTTGCATCAAAATATGGACACAGTTTGCACACTTAATCTAAACACATACTGCTTCTCATTCGCCTGTGTGTAAGTAAGAGACCCACCTGGGGATATCATGCTTATTATCAAACCTGACGTTTGTATCCAACGGTTTGGTCTCATTTATGCAACAGGTGGAAAATTGTATCGTTAATCAAGTTTATAAGTGTGCAATTCGCCTTGAGCTGTAGAAAATTCTAGCGCAAATACTGACAAGTCCTATCCAATGGACACGTCTGGGGTTTGGCCTGAATTCTAATTGTATGTATTTATGTTTTGCCTGGAAGGCACGGGTCATTTGTGATGAGTGAAACGATATCTCGATGGAGATCGCAGGTCATCTCTCCCGACAAAGTGGTCACCATTAAGACCTTTGTGTCGTAGAGACGGTAAAAAGTGGTGTACAGTCTTCACCTCAACTGGCGGTACGTACATATCTCCGTTCTATTGCATAATGCCGTGATTTTAAACTTGATACGTAATTTTGAGTGGGCGTGGCCTTTTACACATGTAATAATTATCATGATTTCAATTACATCGCAGTTCACCGTAAACCTCTTTGTACAAAGTTAAACATTTCTTATCCTCCCAGCCACTCTTACTTTACCCAATCCATCCCTACATTACTAACCATCCAATCCCTCTTCATCTTTCATGACTACCCAACCCCTTCACAACTCACTAACAACCCAATCAACCCATACCCTTTCCATCTCTGTAAATTTTCAACCCCTCCACATCTCTCTTAACTACCCTAAACTTCCTCCTCCTCCTTTCGTACTACTCAACCCCTCGACCAACTCTCTCATTATCAACCACTCTTCACTTCACTAACTACTCAACCCCTTTTCCCTGTCTCTCTAATTACACAACGTCTGGCAACCTCCCTAACGACCCAACCCCTCACCATTTTTAATTACCCAACCCCTCTTCGCATCTCTAACTATCCAACCTCTCACCACCTATAACTACCGACCCCTCACCGCCTCTGATTACCCACCCCTCACCACCTCTAACTACCCATCCCTTACCGCCTCTAACTGCCAGTTCCTCACCACCTCTAACTACCGACCCCTCACCGCCTCTGATTACCCACCCATCACCACCACTAACTACCATCCCCTCATCATCTCTAACTACCAAACCCATCACCACCTCTAACTACCCAACCCTTCACCACTTCTATCTACCATCCGCTCACCACCTCTAACTACCAAACCCATCACCACCTCTAACTACCCAACCCATCACCACCTCTAACTACTAACCCCTCACCACCTCTAACTACCCAACCCCTCACCACCTCTAACTACCCAACCCCTCACCACCTCTAACTACCCAACCCATCACCACCTCTAACTACTAACCCCTCACCTCCTCTAACTACCAAACCCCTCACCACCTCTAACTACCAAACCCTCACCACCTCTAACTACCCAACCCCTCACCACCTCTAACTACCCAACCCCTCACCACCTCTAACTACCAAACCCCTCACCACCTCTAACTACCAAACCCCTCACCACCTCTAACTACCAAACCCTCACCACCTCTAACTACTAACCCCTCACCTCCTCTAACTACCAAACCCTCACCACCTCTAACTACTAACCCATCACCACCTCTAACTACCCTACCTCTTAAGCATCTCTAACTACCAAACCCTCACCACCTCTAACTACCCAACCCCTCACCACCTCTAACTACCCAACCCATCACCACCTCTAACTACTAACCCCTCACCTCCTCTAACTACCAAACCACTCACCACATCTAACTACCAAACCCTCACCACCTCTAACTACCCAACCCCTCACCACCTCTAACTACCCAACCCATCACCACCTCTAACTACCAAACCCCTCACCACCTCTAACTACCAAAACCCTCACCACCTCTAACTACCAAACCCTCACCACCTCTAACTACCAAACCCTCACCACCTCTAACTACCAAACCCTCACCACCTCTAACTACCATCCCCCCACCACCTCTAACTACCCTACCTCTTAAGCATCTCTAACTACCAACCCCTCACCACCTCTAACACTACCAACCCTTCACCAACTCTAACTACCAAATCCCTCACCTCTTCTAACTACCAACCCCTCTTCACCTGTCTAAAACCTGGCAAAATCCCACTCTTGAATCGACACCTTATTTAGAAAGAGATAATCTGTTTATATATAATATGTGGTTGTATAGTATATTATCCAACTTGTTTACACTACACTTTAGTGTTATTTACTTACATGAACTTAATATGACCTGGTGACTTACTAACCTTTCACTGTATACATTTCTATAAAAAGTATGACACATTAATATGTAGTTAACATTTCAGGGAGGGATCGATCACAATGGTAGAATTAATCTGGTGTCCGAATGATAGTTTTAGATACAGGATCACAGAGGGGATTATACAGGTAAGATAATGGATGCTTTCTTATGTAACTTATTCATTTATACATACAGAGGCGTATAGTAACGAGCGTGCGGTTGAATTCTCTCCATGTTCACAAGGTGGCGCTGTACACATTTCAGGAGTGAGTGACAACAGCGCCACATTGCTTGTGAAAAATGTATTATAATAGTGTTAATTCTAATGGATTCTGTCTAAAGGTAATTTGCATATGCACAAATATATTACAGGTACAAGTTATACAGGCGAACAGACTTTCTGATATGAATGTAAGTGCACATATACGTCTCTGGGTAGTCGGAGAGAGGAAATGTGCATACAATGTTAGTACATTTGTACTGTAGATTGCTAAAGATTTACCAACAAATGACTTCCGCATTTGACACGTATATGCAAAGGAATTAGAATAACAATGAATATCGTTATAATGACCAAGCTCTTGTCATTTGATGTAAGTTTAAAATCTAAAAATGATTTGAAAGTCAACGTCCAAATTATTTTCAAAATGCTATTACTAATTAAATCATATTTTGCACATTTTTAGCCGACGTCATAGTAAACAAAATATAAACAGGATGTTATGATGTAATATTTACTTTATGCTTGAATGGATATCTCTGTCCCTTTATTTATGTCGTACACATCAAGTACTTATAACCCCTATCGGCAATAATAACAAAGTATATTACAGAGGTAGGTCATGGCCTCTATACACCGTCTATTGAGCCAGAAGTCGGGTTGTCTTACTCTCACATATGTCGATCGCGAACTTTCGATTTGTACCGTGTGTACATACTTTTGTACTTACAGGCATATTTGTGTAACGTAGTACATTACAAGCGTAAACAGTTAAGACTATGTTTGTGAGGTTGCGAGCACGTAGTCGAAGGAGACTTGTAAACTAACTCCTGACACTAATTGGATGATAATGTAGTGTACACTGAACATATTGCAGGAGTTAGATAACTCTTTCTTACAAACTAACACCTGATTACGACACGGTAAGTAACAGATTATCTCTCTCACGTCATGTCGTGACAGTATCGTTAACTATGTCTAAAATGACTCTCCCAGTGCAACGCAAATATCAATGGTACTAATGCCAAAAAACACCACTTATGTACAGCCGAAGTTCGTTACCTCGAACTCGACGGGACCCTGACGAAACTTCGAGATAACCGAGTATTCGATTTCAGTGATTCCGAAAGTTAGACAGAACAGACAGTGACTGACGAAATGTTTCTGATTAGACAGGGTCTTTGAGTAATACGAGTTAGAGATAACGAGGTCCAACTGTCTTCTTAAACGGAACGTGAGGTTGAAGTTTACATCTGATATACAGTCACAAGTCCCGTCTTTGTCAATACAAATATGATATCGATGAAGTAAATATATACATTACAAAGATAAATTTAGTACATAGATCAGCCGAGAACGAAAATACTTAGAATACAATTATATGTACCTAACGATAATCCCTTGAGTCGGTATTTATAGATTTATACAAATCGATTCTGCTCGATCCAGGACAGGTATTTGTGAACCAGAAAATTATGTTGCTGATAAAATCAATCCTCACAATGTAGACTGTGGTCATTCTTTTGAACAATTTATCCGAAATGTTGACAAAAGCAAGTTTTCTTGGCATTTCAATCATTAAACTGAAGGTGACAAGATTTAGGTTTAAATACTAAGGCAGCGGCGAGATACGCGTAGGCGTTCACACTTGGCAATGCATAACCCACAACTTATTTCACATATACTTCAGGGACTTTCTACGATTTTACATTTCAAAATATTTCACTACCGTAATAACTGACGCTGTTTACGGGTCTAAAAATGTTGATGCACACACAATCTCTCGCATGCAATTAGTACACGACAGAAATAATTCATCGCTGTGACACATACTTCTTTAGTTCCACTCGAGTGCATTCAAACTTGCTGTGTCAACAATTTCGGGCAAGGATGTTTTAAATTTTGGTTTACCTGAAATTTTCACTGGCTTTCTCAAGAAATGAACTGACCAACGTGGTTTGGCTGACTAAACATGTGCCTTCGTTCCCTCCTCAAAACGCAAAAAAAAATTTGTTCCAAATCAGGACAAACCACCAATTACACAACTTAAAAGAAGCTAACACACAAGAAGGTTTGTTTTCTGACTACTGCAGTAATCGCTTGTAGAACGACAATAATCGCTATTTAGACCTTCATCGATCGGCGAAACCTGAAATTGTAATGAACCTGCTTTTTCTCTAAGTCAACACGGTATCCAAAAACTGAGAGTCGTTATTTTAAAATCCATTTATCGGTTTTCTGTCTGAAAGCTTGCTCTCACAACCGACGGGATCTTTAAATTACTTAACAAGACTCTTGTAACACTTGTCTATACAGCAGACATGTACTCGAATAAAATGGTTTTAAAAGCTTCATAGCTAGTGGAGACATTTCTCTTGAAAACAATTCAATCTTTCACAATATCGACTGGTTAAAACTAAGGGAAAGTGTTCAAGATCAATGTACGCAAGTCTAAATTTTTATTAGTGTGTACTGTAAGTAAAACTAATTCATTTTAGTTTCATAGAAATGCACCTAAAGCTGGTAACCCTATACAGAGTAGTTGGCAAGTCTATAGAACAATTACGTATATAGATTGAATCCGTGATTACTTAGGCACTTATTCGGGAAATAAGTTGGAGCGGGGAAAGGAAGGTCGATAATCATGGAAGCTCAGATAATATTTATCAAGATATAGTATAATCCATAGTATATACGATATTGATCGGGACCCAATGTTAATGAATTACCACAATTTCTGTTACAGTGACAGATAAACCCCCACAGACTCCCGCCTGCCAACAGCACGTGCAGCACAATATACGGATATGACCTTGCCCGGGCTCTATTAGAGAATTGGAAATATCGACGAAGAAGGACATTGGAGCTTGCTACTGCTACAAGTAATTGCTTCCCAACAACACACGTGAAATGCACCAGCATGCTTCTGTTTGAACGTAACTTCACGCCGGCCTTCTAGATTCGGTCGTGTTTCAAGTCATGTTGGGGTGAGTGAGCTCTGTCTTCTATCGCTGTCAGAGAATTTAGTCAAAATCGCAGATACTACAGCCATTCCTGTACAGGATGTATGTAGAAAGTATTATCTCCAGTCTGGAGCGTTCGCTTTCGGAATCCATTTGTCAGAGAGAGCATCTTCAGGACATAACCGATGAATGTGTTCTAGACATACACAGGCGAACGGGATTTCTACATGCCGCCATTGATGAGATAGATAAAGATTTCACAAAACGAATTCTAGATTTACAGAACACTGAATTGGATAGGCTGTCAAAACATGAGCAGCAAATACAACGATTTCTAGTGGAGCTGTCGGCCAGAAAAACAGCAACAATGAAACAATGTACAGAGTTATCTTTCCATGATTCCATTGATATTTCTGATCACAACATGGAACTGGAATTGTTAGATGAAGAACTTAGAAAAGTTCAAAAACTAACTGATCTAGAACGGATTTGTTTGAATTTTAAACCAGCAAGTGTCTCCAAAGACGATCTCAACCCCATATTTGGATCGATAGATTTTTTCCACATAACTCTGCCGTCCTCTTTTACAACAGAATCTCAGGCACCTGTCCAGTCTCCAAGATTTTCGATAAAAAAGTTAGCTTGCTTTACTTGCAAGGAAATGTCCCCAAACATTCACGCGCTGTTGCCAATTTCAGCAACCGAGGCTTGGATTTGCTGTGGTTGGGGTAGCAAAGATATCCATCTCTACGACGTGGACGGTTATAAGAAAGCGTCTTTAACCTTAGATGTAGGTGTGGATCATATGGTTATGACATCAAGTGGAGATCTTTTGGTTTCTAGCTACAATGGAACAGTGATAACAAGAGTTGATGAACATCTTCAGATGACGACGTTTGCTGTCCTCAATTTTATACCTCGGGGAATGGCTGTGTCTGATTCACGGGAAGTATACGTCTGTGGCGTGGAGAGACTTTCGGGAAAGAGTGAAAGCAATCGTTATTTAATCGTTAAGATGTCAGAAGAGGGTCACGTGATCTCTGATATTGACGTTGCACCACATGATCCTCACAGAATTGCCGTGGATTCTTGTGGGAACATGTTTTTCTCGGATTATAACGGTAGCAGACGAGAGTTTGTCGTCATGGATACTGTTGGAAATGTCAAGGTCAAATACAACACGCCTCCTGGCGACCCCCTTGATAATCCGTTTTACCCTCTAGGCGTGACACGTGACCGATATGGTCACGTGCTTGTGTCGGACTGGAATAACGACTGCATTCATTTGCTGGATAAAGACGGAAATTTCGTCCGGTATTTGCTAAGGTCTGGAGACGGAGTAGAATGTCCGTCTGCTCTAGGAATAGATCGGGAACACAGACTTTGGGTTGGGAACGGTATTGGATGTGTCAGTGTGTATCAGTACGTGATATAGAAACGTGTGTGTCTGATGTTATACATGTATATATGTATATGGTGAGATGATAAGATAAATGTCAGTCTGCCACAACGAGCTTACAAGTAAACTGCTACGGGTATCTGTAATATTTGTGTCATAAAAAATCAATCGAACGTTTTATATTTTAAATGCTGTAATACGCATATATCATTGAAAACATAATTAATTTCAAAGCTAATACGGGATTATGTTTTTTCTACAAGGGTTTATTTTTTTATTAATAAAAACATACGTAGTTTTATAGATAACGTATTGATGTTTCAAATCCAAGTGTGCCAACCGCAGGAAACAAGTGCTTTGTTACAGTACATACAGCGGGAAAAACTACTGGCCAACTTTTGTTGAATAAATTCAACCGGGTACTTGGCAGATGACAAAATGACTTATCAATTTTCTTTTTAATAAATGGTTGTTCGGATATGACACCATGAAAATATTTCATATCCCGGCCTCTCGCTTAATGAAACAAGGCAACGAAAAAAATATATTGAAAAAAAGGATTTTTTTAGTTCTATTCTTTAAACTGTAAAGCATCATAATCCAAAGTATATTGTGTATTTCTTTTATAAAGCCATGGATATAATAGAAGAGAACCTAAGATAGCTGACTTCCTGAAATGTCCATCATTTTGATCAATGAATATCTGTTTTTTCCTAGGTGATATTAAACTGCAAGCCCACTTGAGATATATTCGAAATCACGTGATTAGTTTTGGTAGAATCGGTACAGTTATGTATGACTCTGGGGTACTTTTTTCTGTATTGACTTTTTCCTGTTTAATTGTACGTCGACACCGGGTACAGAAATCCAGACGGCTATCAATGGAATCCAATATTTAAACAAGACGATAAGAAGTGTTGGCAACTCTGACTGAACAGACTTGTCTGAAAGTCTATCGACCTGTTTTTTCATGTTTCCTTGAAGGTTTACCGACGTTTAATCTTATTTCTGTTTCAGAATCACGGAACTTGTTCTAATTTGATAAACATACGTATTTTGAAAGGTCACATTATTGAATATTTTAATGTCAGATTGATTTTTGGATATGCTTGGCTGAACTTTTCTCAGGAAGATTTCACGCACTAAAGATTAAGAATGACTTAGAGTTTATAATGTTAACTGTTGATTGCCGTTTTTCCGAGACTCCGGATGCGGGGATGTACAGCTGTAGTTAAACGTTATCGAAACATAAGTCTTTATCCATTTCTGTAGTTTCAATTTTTTTTTTTTTTTTTTTTGCTTTATTTTTACACAAACTGTAATCGGCATACAGCGATTCCGTTTTTTATGAGAACATTTGACGTGTTTGTAGTTAAAATCATGCGCAATATACTTGTAACGACATGTATAAAACGTGCTGTGATATCAAAGAGAATCGATCACATGCCATTGAAGATAAATTTGATAAAAATCTATAAATTCAGACTAATAAAATAAAATTTTGTGAACCCAAAAATAACCGATTAAAAAAAACCCACATAAATATTAATGTGAAAAATAGTAATAAAATTGATTTTTGCTTTAATCAGTACCAATGTGTTGACTTCAACCGTCATTCTGTTTGATGATTTATGTATCTCAGCAAGCAGAGACATGGGCCAATCACCGCTGCCGTAGTTATGTCCTCGTTGAGATTAGTCTCGTGCAGCCACTACAAACGACAAAGCGACACCGCCTCAAAATGACGATACTTAATTTGTTGACGGACCATAAACCTATAAAACAATTTCAATTAATGTTCGTACCCGTTCTTGTTCCTATGACAGTTTTTTTACCTATATAGGAATATAGTAAAATTTCCCTTGAAATCGACATCAAGTGCACTAGTAAAGAGTTCGATACAAGTCATGTATGTCATTTTCAACTACTTTCTATCTAAAAGTGCTAGAATACGGGTCTTTCTTTCTCAGTATTATCAATTCAACTCTTACTGATTCACATTTTAACAAACAAAAACCTGAATACACTAGCAGCTAAGCACTGTATATGTTTTGACGTGTCCCTGTTAACTGTAGGATATTTACGGTACATGTAGTGACGTGTCCCGTTTACTGTGTAGGATGTTTACGGTACATGTAGTGACGTGTCCCGTTTACTGTGTAGGATATGTACGGTACATGTAGTGACGTGTCCCTGCTTACTGTGTAGGATATTTATTGTACATGTAGTGACAAGTCCCTGTTTACTGTGTAGGAAAACTACAGTATATGCAGTGACGTGTCTCTATTTACTGTGTAGGATCTTTACGGTACATGTAGTTACGTGTCCCTGGTTACTTTGTAGGATATTTACGGTACATGTAGTGACGAGTCTCTGTTTACTATGTAGGATATTTACGGTACATGTAGTGACGTGTTCTTGTTTAATGTGTAGGATTTTACGGTACATGTATTTACGTTTCCTTGTCTACTGTGTAGGATATATACGGTATATGTAGTGACGTTTCCTTGTTTACTGTGTAGGATATATACGATACATATAGTGACGTGTCCCTGTTTACTGTGTAGGATATTTACGGTACATATAGTGACTTGTCCCTGTTTACTGTGTAGGATATATACGGTACAAGTAGTGACGAGTCTCAGTTTACTGTGAAGGATATTTACGGTACATGTAGTGACGTGTTCCTGGTTACTTTGTAGGATATATACGGTACATATAGTGACATGTCCCTGTTTAAAATGTAGGATATTTACGGTACATGTAGTGACTTGTCCCTGTTTATTGTGTAGGATATGTACGGTACATGTAGTGACGTGTCCCTGTTTACTGTGTAGGGTATTTACGGTTCATGTAGTGACGTGTCCTTGTTTACTGTGTAGGATATTTACGGTACATGTAGTGACGTGTCCCTGTTTAAAATGTAGGATATTTACGGTACATGTAGTGACTTGTCCTTGTTTACTGTGTAGGATATGTACTGTACATGTAGTGACGTGTCCCTATTTACTGTGTAAGACATATACGATACATATAGTGACGTGTCATTGTTTACTGTGTAGGATATTTACGGTACATGTAGTAACGTGTTCTTGTTTACTGTGTAAGATTTTACGGTACATGTGGTGACGTGTCCTTGTTTACTGTGTAGGATATTTACGGTATATGTAGTGACTTGTCCTTGTTTACTGTGTAGGAAAACTAGGGTAGATGCAGTGACGTGTCCCTGTTTACTACGTAGGATATTTATGGTATAATTATGACGTTTCCTTGTTTACTGTGTAGGAAAACTACAGTACATGCAGTGACGTGTCCCTGTTTACTGTGTAGGATCTTTACGGTACATGTAGTGACGTGTTCTTGTTTACTGTGTAGGATTTTACGGTACATGTATTTACGTGTCCTTGTCTACTTTGTAGGATATATACGATATATGTAGTGACGTTTCCTTGTTTACTGTGTAGGATATTTACGGTACATGTAGTGACGTGTCCTTGTTTACTGTGTAGGATATATACGATACATATAGTGACGTGTCCCTGTTTACTGTGTAGGATATTTACGGTACATATGGTGACTTGTCCCTGTTTACTGTGTAGGATATATACGGTACAAGTAGTGACGAGTCTCAGTTTACTGTGTAGGATATTTACGGTACATATAGTGACGTGTTCCTGGTTACTTTGTAGGATATATACGGTACATATAGTGACGTGTCCCTGTTTAAAATGTAGGATATTTACGGTACATGTAGTGACGTGTCCCTGTTTATAGTGTAGGATATGTACGGTACATGTAGTGACGTGTCCCTGTTTACTGTGTAGGATATTTACGGTTCATGTAGTGACGTGTACCTGTTTACTGTGTAGGCTATTTACGGTACATGTAGTAACGTGTCCCTGTTTACTGTGTAGGATATGTACGGTACAGGTAGTGACAAGTCCCCGTTTACTGTGTAGGATATTTACGGTACATGTATTTACGTGTCCTTGTTTACTGTGTAGGATATATACGGTATATGTAGTGACGTTTCCTTGTTTACTGTGTAGGATATCTACGGTACATGTGGTGACGTGTCCTTGTTTACTGTGTAGGATATTTACGGTATATGTAGTGACTTGTCCTTGTTTACTGTGTAGGAAAACTAGGGTAGATGCAGTGACGTGTCCCTGTTTACTACGTAGGATATTTATGGTATAATTATGACGTTTCCTTGTTTACTGTGTAGGATATCTACGGTACATGTAGTGACGTGTCCCTGTTTACTATGTAGGATATTTACGGTACATGTAGTGACGTGTCCCTGTTTACTGTGTAAGATATTTACGGTATAATGTTTTGCCTTGTCCCTGTTTAGCGGGCCGGGTATTTACGGTACATGTTGCGACATGAACTATAAAAATAGGAAGGTATATTAAACCTTTCTTATGGAAAGTATTTAATGCCTTTTTAATGTCAACAATTTCAAATAATAACTTGTTCTAAATGAAAAAGTTAATAATGTTAATTGTCAATGTTTCGAACTGTTTGAAAAGGGTTGGTCGTATTCACGTAAACAACTTTCATCAGACTTAAAAGTATCAGTTATCAAAAGACCCAATGCATATTGACCAAAATTGTTTGGATGAAGGACTTTCAATGTTAATCAAAATAACAAGCATTATAGATCAACAATGTCAAACGTTATATAACTTCATATCGAAGCAGCACGAGACATGCTGGTCGGCAAGTAGAATCTTGAGGTGAGATACCTTAAGGTTTGCGCAGGTTTATAACCTTGACATATTTTCAATGCCAGAAAGGGCAAATATGCTGAAACTTTATAATACCATTTTTAGCATAACCAAGTTGATCATTGAAACTACTTAATTTTTGTAGCATGTTTTTATTATATGATATATCATGCCAAGAATCAAGCTACTTTCTGGTTGTCGTGAAAACATTGCTCGCCTGGTTTATCGTCGTTCGAACAGCCAGAGTCATTCTGAAACAGGTGTTTCTTGTAATGTGGCTACCTCACCGAACATCATTCAAGTGGCTCGTCACATGCTATAAAACAAGTGGGCTTAAGTGTCTTCTTGCTTAAAGAAACATCCACGTCATCCCGGAACGGTTCGAGCGGAGATTTAATCTGTTCCCACAAGTTGCACGAGACTGATGGTCCGTCGACTTCTCTATCGCGGCTCAATCCTGAAAATTCGGAAGGCGCATTGTATGACGAAAGGACTCGAC